TATGACAAAAAAAGCACTGCATACATGGTATATATCATTCATGATAATGATATGAATATATACCACATCATGAATAACCTGTACAAAGAAATAGTCTAATGCAAGAATGTTAAACTTTACTACATGCATAACCTGTCTATTTACAGTCTGTTATGTAACAAAAAACACACTGTCAACCAGTCACAACTACTGGGGATATACAAAATACCAACAGTAGTGTGCAGACTTAATTATAATTTGGAATATATCAGTTTTTCATTACAAAAAAAAAAGACTTGCAGAGCATAAACATGATACTAACAATTGAAAACTCTCCACTGCACTGTCGATATATGTATCAGAAGATGATATACATGTTGATTTTGAGAACACATCCCAAATGTATGCATCACAAAGATTTTACATCATTGTGGCCATTGAAATTTACAAGGCTGAAATGAAAGAGAAAAGTAATGAGTTTAAGAATGAAAGACATTTATCCTTTATAAGGCAATCATTATTCAACAGATCATAACCTGGTGTTAAATATTAAATATCTTATTGCAAAACGGAGTTAAAAATATCACTTGAACATCATTAATGTTTTTGTGTTAATTTTACTATAGTTTGTACATTGCAATTAATTTAATAAATATAAAATTAATTACAGTTAGATGCACAGCACCAAATTTTAAATTTTAAAATGCATTTGAGAAATTGAGTATTTGAAAAAGTTAAAAGGAAGTTCTGTATGCATTTTGTTTAAAAAATATGGGACCTGAGGAAGATCCAGAACAATGTTGGAAAACATTAATCAATGTTCCATCAATAAAATTCACACTAGAGTTTATTTTATGGTTCTTCAGTTGATTTTGTTTCTCTAATCTCACCATTTGCCACTAATAAAAACACATCAGAATCCCATAGTTTCAAAATGGAGTTACACTGAAAGAACATTAGAATGTACTAATGCAGACAGTGCTAGTTAAATAAGTTACATCTGAGGCAAAAATTAGTTTTGTTACCTGTGGTTGTAGAATAGTTACTAATAAAGAGCACTTCTAGTACTGGCACTCATGTAAATTTATTAATTATAGTCGTCATTATTAAGTCCAATATTATCAAATAGCAAATCTGAACAATTTTTAGAGGAATGCTAATACAAGATCATTTGTCTCATTATTCAGAGTAAAACTTGCAGTATTAGTCTGCTTTAATTACCTGAAAACACAACAAATTTTATTTTAGGAGTAGCGTAATGGGATAACATATATGGACAATCTTCTGAGGTTGGAGTGTCTTCCAGGAGGCTTTTCTATGGGAAATTGGCCTCTATAAACTACTCTATTTAAGAAGTGGTTTTCAAAACAAAATATGAAGGAGAGACGCATAATTATTATTGGTGGTTGTGCATATGTTTAAACTGGATAAAATGTTTGATAGAAAATTTTGTTTAACTTTAGTATTTCATTGGATATATCAAACTTATCTTTTACTCTAATACTGAAATATTTCTATATGTTTTGATTGCTTAATCTTTCATAATCATCTAATAAATATGAAAATAAATTTGTTGTATGATCTGCAGAATTATTGAAAACTGGTTTTAAAGTAACCATTATTATTTCTCAGATATGGAAACTTTTTCTAAGCATTTTAATTGAATCATATGTTATTAAGTAATTGGAATTTAGAACTACTGAATACAGTCGACCCACTATAACACTGTTGATTATTCCGTTTTATATGAATTCCATATTTTACGAGTCACTTAGATTTTACAAATATGTGAGCCGTTCACAGCCTGTCACATGTATTTGTAAAATCTAAGTGACTCGTACAATATGGAATTCATATAAAACGGAATAATCAACAGTGTTATAGGGGGGTTGACTGTACATGAATAAACATTCATTTATTTATTTAATCCATTTCAGAAAATCACTCCATTATTGTGTGGCTGTCTGCCATTTTGTATATACATAGTTATAGTATTTAGATTTAGAATTCTTTGTTCTTTCCTTTCCTTCTTCTTCTTTCTACAAATGACCATTTCCGGTCATCCGACAGGAGCGGGAAATTCATGGGTCCTGATTGGTGGCTTATCGACGTAAACAGGGAGGGGCCCTGCCCGTGGGGTACAGAAGGAGAACAAAGGGGTGAGAAAGACACTTTTTGCTCGGGCGACGAAGAGAAGAGGTCACGAAAGTATTGTCGGGACATTAAGTTGGACCTGGAGGACAAAGAACGAGCCGAACGTGCTGGGTATCGAGTAGTCCTAAAAGAAAGAAAAAGGACTAGTGACTTGCCCAATAAGAAATAGTGGCCTACAAAACCCAAGTGACAATTATCATAACAGGAATGTTGGATATTCCAATGTTGATCGACAAAATCCCCACAATCATCAGAAACCACAATCAGGACCTTCTGTGCTAAATACCGGTATACTTTTCCTTCCTCCATTTTCCTCTCCTTAGTATAGTGTTAGATTTAGTTAGCTATAAGTTAGTTATAAGTTAGTAATTAGAATCCGTATCGTGAGAACAACTCATTGTAAGAATCTGAACGAGAACAGAGACTTGTTACATATATCTACCTGTGTGTGTGTCTCTGACGGGCATCACTGTACTACCTGTTAATTCTGATTGTAATAAACTATTGTTTAGTTAGTATTTGTTGGAATAATTGTCTCGTACAACATTAACCCTTCACAATTGAATACTTACTAATTAGAGAGTATTTTTAATAGCAGCAGTGAGAATTAACTTGTAAAGGTTATTTCTATGTAAAAAGTAATGGATAACTAATTTAATAGTCATAAATGCTATAAGAATTACAACAGGATGAAAAGAAAAGAAGCTATAAAATGTAATTTTCATTATTTTATTTTTTAATGAAATTTTAAAATACATTTACTGAAAAAGAGAGCAAATTATCCAATGCTGTGTAAAAAAGTCTAGGACAGTAAGTATACTTAAAATTCACAAAAATAGAAGAATCACTAAAAAACTTTAAAAATGTCTTTGAAATTTTGTTACTTTTTGCTACTTGGGAACATAGTTTTGATTGTTATGTTCCCAAGTTGACCTTTGTATGGGAAAGTAATACATCTGATTACTTTATTTATTTATGAGAAATGAACTATAAACTTTAGAAAAACTGGAATGTACTTCAAAAGTAAATAAATCAAGGATACATTGAACTTAATAGAACATGTCTAAAGAATAAACTTTCTGAATGTCTTTATGTGTGCGATGATGATGACGATATTTTAGTTTAAATTCAATTTTATTGGTTTCTAAATGAATAATTCATTTATCATTTTTAAGCATAATACAGTACTGTAAGTCAGAGTATATTGTATATTGATTTATTTATTTTCTTTCTATGCTTCCTTGTGTTTACTATATTTACATGCAAATAGTATTAACAGTAAATGATATTAGAATAAAAAGGCTTGCATTTCTTTTGTAAATTAAGTGTATTATTAAAGATTAGGATATCTTATATAAAAAAGATCGAAACAAATCTAAAATGATAATATTATATCAGAAATGCATATACAGTCGACCCCTCTATAACACTGTTGATTATTCCGTTTTATATGAATTCCATGTTGTACGAGTCACTTAGATTTTACAAATATGTGTGCCGGGCTGTGAACGGCTCACATATTTGTAAAATCTAAGTGACTCGTACAACATGAAATTCATATAAAACGGAATTATCAACAGTGTTACAGGGGGTCGACTGTATTTAATTTAAAATTCAATACTTTATCATGTATATGAAATAATATAACAATTTTAGGAAATTTATAATATTCACTATTGTTAACTTGTTTGGAGAGAGTATTGTTTAGTCATAGCTTTGGTTCTATTTTCTAATTTCTCATACGTAGGCTTCTTTTCGTTTTCCTATTGTAGTGTTTGATCCAGATTTCAATAGAAAAATGTTATGCAAGCAATGAATTTGTTTAATTATATTCCCTTTTTTTTAATGTAAGTAGAAATTATCACACATAACATTTACTGATTAATAATATAGACATTATTGTGTACAAAGTAAATGGATTATCTATTTAATGGAAATTTGGGTATATTTTCAGTATTTATGGGAGTTTTTGTGCACGTGTGTGAGACCTATGAGTTTGTTCACCCTCTTTAAAGCTCAATAACTCCTTTTATTAAAATTTTCTGAAATTTTGCAGTGATTTACATCTTAGGGAGATGAATGCTATTAAATTTTGGTGGTAAACGTCGAGTGGTGGGAGGGGGAGATATAGGGAATTACATCTCATATCTTGAGTGGGGTCGGACTAAATTAAGGTTTTATTATTGATTTCTATTCACAATTTTATATAAATTTATCTCTACCCTCAAAATTAAGTTTTTTGCCATGTAAAATCTAAGTGACTCGTACAATATGGAATTCANTTTATAATTATAAATTTTAAATAAAGTAATCATAAATAATTAAAATAATATAATAAACTTTAAAATTAAAACTTGCTGATAATAACAAGAGAAAATTATTGGAAAATAATATAAGAATAAATTTTTAAAGGTTTTATAAGTACACTTGTAATCTGTAGGAAGAAATGAACTGAAGGGATAATGAATAAATAGAAACTTTTTTTATTAAAATTCTTATAATTGTTATTCTACAAAAATTTTAACTCTATTTTATTCAAATTTTGGCACAAAATAACTGCATGAATAGCTGTTATAATGGAGCTGTTGACGGCGGATAAGACTAGGAGAAAGCATAGAATGTAGGGAGAGGTTTATTTGAAAGAACGCGAGAGAAGATTTATTACCGATAATTTAAGTATTCACTAATATTTGTTCGCAAATATAGTTGTTTTATTTTTTATGACTTAATATTTCTGCCTTAAATCATAATGGATTAATATTTTTCAAGCTGAGATATTGATACGTTACACTACCGCATAAATATTTTTGGTAGAAATACCATAAATTTATTTTTACATTTATATTAAAAAGTAATATTTTTTTTAGGAGATGGCGATCGAGGGAGAGGACGAGCACGTGGACGAGGACGAGGTCGTAGTAGAGGGAGAGGTTACGAACCTCAGTATGACATTCCATTTAGAGGTATACAAGAGTCACTTCCCACAGCATCAAGACTCGATGAAAGGCGATCTACTAGTACAGCAGGAGATAGAACTAATCTTGGTGAGTGTAGCAGGACCATAAGTAATTTAACAGATGTAACAATAAGTATGCATTTATATACATATTAGCTTATGTCAGTTCTGAATAATTGAAAAATGTTTTACACTCAAACATCCATACTCTTGCTTTAAATTGATTTAATTTACATTAACATTATTCATATAAATTTTAATGTATGTTTTATCTGTTTGCTATAATTCACAAATAATATTCATATATGCAAGGTGGAGCACAGTTTCGTGGTTTTCAACGTGGTGGAGAATTTCGAAGTAGACAAGAATCACACTCTCCGATCCCAGCAGAAGATGCAAGAGCAACGACTAGTAGAGCACCTGCAATAATTACACCTGTTGAGAGTATGACAAGACCATCTTTATGTACAAGTAAGTTACATACAAAATAATTGTTATAAAAATATTCTATTTGCAAATGTAATTTAGTAAAATGTATTACTTTAGAAGATATTGCTCTAATGGAACATCCCGATAGAGCTCATGAAGGTGGACAGTCATCTTCAGCCATGGCTCTTGCTTCTGTATCGCAGTCAAAAAGTTCAGTGGATATTATTACGACCGCGATGAAGAGACTAGGCCTTGAAATAACTAATACTGGATCTACAAGACATAACTTTGCTAGAAGACCTGGCATTGGCATTAAGGGTAAAAAGATAAATTTACTAGCAAATTATTTTCCAATAGATATACCACACGGAGAAGTGTATCATTATGATGTGGAAATTGAAAAGGTTCTGCTTATAACAGAAGAGGGTGGTACTGAAAGTAAACCTACGCATAAAAAGTATAGATGCCAAAACACTAAATTGAAGAGAAGAGTTATTGAAGAAATGATTCGTGAAGTTCCTCTATTCAGAAATATTAGACCGGCATTTGATGGCGAGAAAAATTTGTACACCCGAAAACCATTACCAATAAAAGACACAAAAGTATTTTCTGTAAGGGCTACGGATGATTTTAATCCTGAAAAAATGATAACATATGAAATTAAAATTAAACCTGTCAATAGGACAGACTCAACTGAAAGGTCCGATGATAATTCAATTAGTTTAGAACCATTACACGAGTTGTTAGCGGGTAGATGCAGTGATATAACAGAAAGTATTATTATGGGAATGATGGCCATAGAGACCATACTAAGACACGGTCCTGCTCTACATTTGGTTCCAGTTGGAAGGTCGTTTTTCATAAAGCCTCAGATGGATGAAGTTCCTCTATTAGGTGGAGGAAGAGAAATTTGGTTTGGTCATCATCAAAGCATGCAGCTGTGTCAATGGAAGCCCATGTTAAACATTGATAAATCGGCAACGACATTTTATAGAAGCTGCTCCGTTGTTGAGTTTATGTTTGAAATATTATATCCACGAACTGAGAACTTTGAGTTGGCTGCAAGACAGATGAGAGGTCTCACGGATGCTGAAAGAAGAACACTTACAAAGGAAATGAAAAATTTAAGAGTTGAAGTAACTCATTTGCCTTATCCCCGAAAATATAGAATTCGAGACATAACAAGAGACAATGCTAACAACACTTTTTTTATGAGAAAAATTAATAATACAGAAGCTCCTTGTTCGGTATCAGAATATTTTCGGTCCGAATATCAACCATTAAAATATCCTAATTTACCTTGTTTAAATGTAGGAAATAATAACAAAAATATCTATTTACCATTGGAAGTGTGCAATATTGTGGACGGTCAACACTGTAATAAGAAATTAACAGACAAACAAACTTCAGATATGATTCGCTACACGGCTCGACCTCCTGCAGAAAGGTTCTCTGATATCAGGCAGTCTGTTAATGCTATGATGCAAGACTTTCAACCATTCTCGAGAGAATTTGGCATTCGTGTAAGTACGAATTTTCTAAAGTGTACAGGCAGAGTATTGGATCCCCCAGAAGTTATGTACGACGGAAGTGAGACCATCAGACCATCTAACGGAAGCTGGAATATGGTAAATAAAAAATTTCACAAAGGAGTGACAATTGACGACTGGATGCTACTGAGTTTCTCGGGAAATCGCTACTGTAACGAAGGAGTGTTAAGGAGATTAGCCAGTATGCTAATAGAAAATGGTAGAAATGTAGGGGTAGACTTTGCAGATCCATTGGTAGTGAGAGGCTTTACACGTCGTGATGGAAAGCCGGGAGATATATTAAGGCAAGCTAAAGAGATGGAACCAAAACTAGAATTAGCAGTAATCGTATTACCTGCAGAAAATATTTATCCTGAAGTGAAAACAGTTGCAGAAACGGAATTAGGACTTATGACACAATGTGTAAGAGATGTAAACCTTGTGGATCGCAAAAAGTTTAATGCACAGTTTATATGTAATTTATGTCAAAAAATTAATGCAAAAATGGGTGGGGTAAACAATTCATTAGCACAGGAGTACAGACCTGAAATTATGAATAGACCTGTGATGATTGTGGGTATCGATTGTAATCATCCCGCTCCTGGTGACAAAGTTGGATACTCGATCGCAGCAGTAGTAGGAAGTTTAGATGCTTATTGTGGAAAATTTAAAGCGTCCATTCGTGTTCAGCATAAGAAACAGAAAATAGGCGGACAGAGGTTCGGACAAGATATTGTTGTCGAGCTGAAGGACATGATGAAGGAACTTTTCAAGGCATTCTACAAATATACCGGAGGAAAAAAACCACAAAAAATTATTGTTTTTAGAGATGGGGTTAGCGAAGGTGAATTTCAGAAAGTAATGGATTACGAAATGAGAGAAATTAGAAAGGCGTGTGAAGAAATGGCACGTGGTGAGACCTACCGACCTCCCATCACTTTTATCATAACTGGAAAACGTCATCACACGCGTTTTCTACCCGAAAATCGAAGAGACGGTGTGGGCAGACCGGGCAACGTTCCACCCGGTACTACGGTGGATACGGCTGTAGTACATCCCGTGTTCTACGACTTTTTCTTATGCAGTCATATTGGAATACAGGGTACCAGCAGACCCGCTCATTATACGGTTTTATGGGACGATAACGACTTCACGGCAGACGAGCTACAAGTGTTAACTTACTACCTGTGCCACACGTATGCCAGATGCACTAGGAGCATATCTATACCCTGTCCCGTTATGTACGCTGATCTGGCAGCTTTCAGGGCCAAGCAATATCTGATAAACAAAACCGAAAGTATGTCAAGTTCTGGTAGTGAAGTGTCGGAACGTGAAGAAGTAATTATTGAAGAAAGCATTAAAGAAGCCATAAAAGTAGTTGACGAAATACAAAATAGAATGTATTTTGTTTAAGTGTTGATAAAAAACTTTCCGTATGTTTGCACGAATGTGTATTTTTGTAAAATCACTTGGGACTGTTTCATAGAGGGATTGTTGGAAGTTTTATTTTATATTCTTTGTAAAATTTTCATATGCTATAAGTGTTTATAAGTGCAATTAAAAAAATTTTAATAATAAAAACTTTAGATGCACTGCAATGTATAGTTTTAAAAGAATTTGGGTGTATAATGTAATAACTGAAAAAGTTTCTGTAATTATGAAAATATCTGTGTTATATAATGTGAAAGAAAATTAAAGTGAAAATATACTGAAAATATTTTAAAACTTTTATACTTGGAATTAGTCAAAAATTTTGGCATAGATTACACTCATGTATAAGCTACAATATAACAAAATACAGTAGAGCGTCGTTTATCCGAAGGTCGGTTATCCGAAGGAATTCCAGTCGACAAATTTAAATTTTCGCCAGTGCTGTGGCGCTGTAATCTTTGGCTATGTCTTCGCCTACTCAAATATTTTACGTTTTTGATAAATTAACTTCTGAAGTATAATTTTTTATTGTTTTTATATTTTTCAATATATTTATTTTGTTTGTACAAAATAAAAAAATAATTTTTAACAATACAATAGTTTTCGTTAGGCTCAACATCGACGAAAATTCAACGCGAAGCGACACGCAACGGAGAAAATTTTCAACAGGGGATAATTAATATATTTTTTCGTACATAATTGGTTATCCGAAAAATAAGTTATCCGAACAATCTCAGTCCCCAATTGATTCGGATAAACAACGCTCTACTGTATTACACAATAATACTGCTTGTATTATAAATAATTAGTATTGTCTTTCCTTTATACTCTTTTTAATTACTACTACATATTTTTTTTATAATTTGCTTGTACTGTGTTGTTTTCTTTAAATTATCTTAAATCCGGTTGTATTTTTCTCTTGTATATGTTTACTTTTATAAAGTTTTGTTATTTAATAATTACAATTACAATCGTTTAGTTTAAACAGAACGTGTCGAATTTACCCACGTCATGATTATTTACTCATATTTCGCTTATATGTTTGTCATCAATTGTATTTACTCGCTAAACTATTTATTCCAATTAAAATATTAATTTCTATATTGTATTTAATGAAGCAATTACTTACTGTACTTATAACGGCATTATGAGTACAGTATAATTAGAAATATATCATTATTAAGCTTACAGTAGATTACTTTGGATTGCTCTTATAATTGCCCGTCGTTATATAATAACATTTATAATTATATTTTACACATATTAATTACTGCTTATAAATTATTACACTTTACTCATGTAATTACTGCTACATTTTCCTTATGTCTTATCATTATTAAAACTTTTCGTGTAATTTAGCATAATGAACATTGAAATTTTTGAAAGCCAATACGAATTGCTGCTACGGTATGGTGCATTAATATTTATTACAGAATTTTCAGAGTTGCATTGTATTATTACAATACGCGCTTGTAAATTAAGGATGCATAGTTTATTATTACATTAGCGTGGTTAAATTGTGCAATTTTAGATAATGTGGACTTTTCTATGGAACAAATTTAATTGTGTAACCATTCAAGTGTATTAAATTTTGCACTTTGGTACCACAAAATGATATGTTTTATTTCATGTACACCATAGACATTTTTTTTTTTTTTTTTTCATTTGGGGATCATCACTTCCCTATACAGGGATCAGAACACCCCGCACCGCTGTTGCACAACGGGGTTGAAAAAATCCTTTATTCTTAACTATCAATAAACACAATGATTAAACAAAATTACAAAAATAAAATAAAATGAAAACAAACTACTGGACAACTCGTCCAGGACTATTTACAATTGAATAGTTTTACTCTTAAAAATCTTTCTAAAGAAAATCTGAATCTCTTTAAAAGTCTGTTCATTTCGAATAAGGTTATAAATACTACAAGGCCAACCTAGCCCCTCAGCCAGCGCAATCATTTCCAATAAGTGTCTCTGATGTTGCCATTTAATACACTCAAAAATTATGTGTTGCAAATTTTCAATATCTTTTCCACAAGTACATCCAAATCTTGCATCTAGGTTAAAACGCCTTTTAAACTCACCAAGGCCATCATGCCCTGAGAGGAAAATCAGCACCATCCGATCGTAATTCAACCATTTCATTTGCTTCAATCTTTCTTCTATGTTAGGCAAATAACAAAAAGTTTGCCTGCCCTTATCACTATTAGTCCAGTAATCTTGCCAGATTTTGATTGTTTGATTTTTCAAATACAACTTGGCCCAACATTTAGGCCTAATGTCAAACTCTATTTGTTCATTTTTAATCGCCTCTTTAGCCAACTTATCAGCTCTCTCGTTTCCGTAAATTCCAACATGAGCATGTACCCATTTAAATTTAATACTGTTAAACAACCTTTCATCATAAAGAAGTTTCTTAATATAATAAACTTGTCGATGTTTCGAATTCTGACTAAGCAGAGCCTTAAGGGCACTTTGAGAATCTGTACTAACACAAACATTATCTTTCCTATTGTTTTGAACACACCATTCCACTGCTCTACTAATGGCAAGAAGCTCAGCCTGGAAATTTGAGCAATATCCTTCCAATCTAAATTTTTGATTGAAAATTTCTTCATTCCTTTCATACACCACAAATGCCGCTCCAGTCCCCTCTTCTGTCTTTGACCCATCCGTATAAACTTCAGTTCTACACCTTTGCTGTTTCATTTCTTGTACTTTAAAACTCGTTGCTGGATGTGGCAGCTCTGTAACCACTATGTCTCTTTCATAATTTCCCATCTCAATGTCCAAGACAGAAAGCCTCTCTAAATTACCTGTTTTCATCCAATAANTTCCCTATACAGGGATCAGAACACCCCGCACCGCTGTTGCACAACGGGGTTGAAAAAATCCTTTATTCTTAACTATCAATAAACACAATGATTAAACAAAATTACAAAAATAAAATAAAATGAAAACAAACTACTGGACAACTCGTCCAGGACTATTTACAATTGAATAGTTTTACTCTTAAAAATCTTTCTAAAGAAAATCTGAATCTCTTTAAAAGTCTGTTCATTTCGAATAAGGTTATAAATACTACAAGGCCAACCTAGCCCCTCAGCCAGCACAATCATTTCCAATAAGTGTCTCTGATGTTGCCATTTAATACATTCAAAAATTGTGTTGCAAATTTTCAATATCTTTTCCACGTACACCATAGACAAAAGGTACTTGGCTTTAGTCTTTTGGCATATTGCATGCTTGCAGCCACCAAAACACACAAACCTACATATTAATGGAATTTGGTTGCCGTTTTTTTACTTTATAAGTTTAAGAATCTGAAGACTCAAAGAATTATATTTTACATGGTACTCTTCGTTATGTATACATAACACCCTTGAAAGTGATATAAAATCAATATAATTGAATTAATTTTAATATTTATAGAGTTTTTTAAATTTATAACTATAGACATGTTAATTACAACAAAGTTATATTGATCACCTTCAATCGTTGTTATGCAATCTACTTATTACAACTGAACGTTTGTTCTACAATAGAAATTCCTTTTGCAAATTTTATTGTAGTTCTGTGTCCTTCGGAAATTGCGCTTCCCTAAATAAGATAATGCATAAATATTATCAATAAATCGATGAAAATATTCAGTAAGGATGAAAAGAATTATTGATTATCTCGATACGTTTTCGTATTTCGTAAAGCGTAATTTCCAATGGACATCGAAATACAATAAATGCCTTAAAGGTGTTCTTTATAATGGAAGAAACATACACTCTTTAAAGGAGATTATACAACAGAAATCCCAGAATAATAAAGGTTAATTTTGCTTACCTACATTAAGAACCGTTTAAAACATTCTCATAATGCAACTGAAACTTCTTAAAGTAAAAATTTTTTAAAACTTGGTGGTTTTATATGTTAATTAAACCTGTTTTAGTCGGAAATCTGGCTACTTAGAAAGAATTAAAAGACGTATGTAGAGAAGGACATTTCTATTATAAATTCGTTTATTTATTTATTTTTCACACGTTTCCACATTTGTTACGCTAGTATTACTTTTTGCAAAGCAGAAAGCAAAACAAATAATGTGGTCAAATTTAAAAAAATTTCATTATAATATTATTTATTAGAAAATTATGTATACTGTTGAATGTGAAATATAATACTGATGATTCATACACCACATTGATTATTTTGTGAAATTAAATACCACTTTTAACTAAATAATAACAGGATAAAGTTAAAAAAACTACCACATACGCCTTTTTGATAATTTGCATCTGATGTCCCATATCCAAGTACAGTAAATATAAAATTAATACAGTAGAACCTCGATTATCCGCCCCCCGATCAACCGACCCCTCGGTTAACCGACTGTCCTAGTCGGCAAATTTCAAATGTCCGCTAGTGATGTGGCACTACAATATTTGGCTATGTCTTGGCTACTTTAATATTATTTTTACGTGTTTTAGCTGGAAACACTCATTCGACCATGAAAGGGAGCCAGTATTTAAACGAAGCTTAATTTTCTAATTTTTAACGATACAATAGCGACGATTATTATTTTAAAAAATTTTGTTAGGTTTAACATCGATGAAAATTCAACGCGAAGTAGGTTAATAGCAATATACTAATATACTAATTACATGGGATATAATAATATACAGTACTACACTAATAATGGATTTTTTCATACTTTTCGGTTATCCGACTTTTCAATTATCCGACCAACCCCAGTCCCCAATTAGGGCGGATAATCGAGGTTCTACTGTACCTCTTTTTATTGTGAAAAGCTTAAAATTTTATTTAGAGGGGTGTTATATTTTCATAAATACCTGGCAAATTCCAATTATAAGCCCCATTAAAATACTTCAAACATTTTTAGAACAATTTTTGTATGGAAATATTTTTTATAACATATTAATTTTGGCTCTATTAAAGTTGGTGGCCCTATGCAATTGCGATAGTTGCTAATGGGATAATACACGAATAAATTATTGTATTGTGTAATTTTCTAAATATATCTCTACTCTACAGATAACATCAATATCAATGCTTATTGATTAAATTTCGTTCTTTGTCGTCATAGGAACGAATATTTGTTTGTAGAATATTTATTTATGTCACTGACATTGTGAGTATTGAAACTCAATAACTTGAAACTCCCAATCAACTTATCGTTCCACCTTTAACTGTATCGTATTGACCAATTGGAAATTCATCTTTCTGTCATTGACAGCTACTAGTAGGGTATTATAGCTGATTATTTCTGTATCTTCGAGTTTAGACAGTATGAAAAATTTGGTCGTATCGTCTCTTTAATTGAAACGGCAGAAACTTTGCTATTTGTAGTAGTACCTATTAAATAATAAAGGCTGAATATTAAAAAGTCATTTGCACCCTTCAAGCAATCATGCAGCGATTACCCGAAACTTGTATTGTGAAAAAACTTCAACCATTTCTTTCTGTTTCGAAAGTTTTCGGTTTGGATATTTTCGAAACATGCAAATGCAGAAAGAATACGAATGCTCGAACTGAGAGATTTTATAAATTTTACACAAATGTACTCGAAATTTTTTTTGTGGTTAGCAGCTTTACAGTATACAGCAATGATGATTTCTCCCGAAGTCGTTTGTAATCATATTTTTATAGTATTTAAAAATAATTCGTTGTACATCAAAATTATTTTTTCGATATTTGCGTTGTATGTAGCTCTACAGTTCAGCATTTTGAAAGAAGAAAACTCAATATTCATCACTTAATGACAGGATTTAAAGGAGAAGAAGAGTTTATAGATACACTTCAACCGTATCTCTTGCATTATTTTTCATTTTGTATTTCCATACTGGTTGGAATGTCCTTAATAATTATTGTGGCTAGTAATTTTGCCTTTAATACTTACAGACAATATTATTACAGAATATCATTAGTTTGCATTGTTAGTACACAGTTATGGCTTATTTATGCATTGTCTCTTATATTTTGTTTAATTCTCTTGTCGGCATGTTTTTTCATGATTGTCAGCAAAGCTTTGTTAAAAATCTCTCAACAGTTACAACTCAGAAATGTTGCATCGAAATATCTTGTTCAAGAGATGATGACGAAACTCTTACAAATTTGGGAAATTTTTGATGAAATAAATGAAAAATGGAATATGTTACTTCCACTTATTTACGTACATTTTACGATCGATAGCTGTTTTTATACATATGTTGGTCTTTTTGTACAGATAGATAAAATTGTTCGAGTGTTTTGTTTATGTATCGGTGCAGTATTATTGTCTCTAACATTATTAGCTGCCTGGGCATTATCGATATTCACTTCAATTGTAAGTATTACTTCTATATTTGTAGAAATGAAATATTTTTTTTGTTAATTTAAAATATCTTCTGTTGTATTTACAATAAACATTATTGTCTTTCAGGTATACGATAATTTCATTTCCATCGGAAAATTTTATTCTTCTCTAAAGTCCTTGGCATACATATTCAAAGTATCTAACGTTTTAACTTCAAAGTCTAACATATTAATTAGAAATTAATAAAAACACGAACAGAGAATACGCATGCAATGTCTTTTAGTTGTCTTTTGTCACTCAAAAAAGTTACCTGAAAAACAATGTAAAAATAAATCTGAAACACTTTTAAAACCTAGAACAATGAAGTCAACTGTCTTTCACATAATTTCTGAGGTGCATAGCCTTAAGTGAAGGGTGGAACGTCAGTGTGTTTCGAAATAGTTCTTAGTTTGAAAAAAGACAATTGAGACGTTTTGCATAAACAACGTTCGTGTTTTTAAAATCTATTTTCGTTCATCTTTTTAGTATTTAAAACAATTGGCTTTAATAATTGATTCATTTCAGATTATTTGCTTCTTGAAGAGATTCGGAGGAAGACCTTTTGGTATATCCATATCCGGATTTTTTTATGTAAAGAAAAACTTTTTGATAAGGGTAATTATGAATAAATTTAAATTAAAGCTATAAACAATTACATATTATTTTTATATATTTAAAATAACTGTTTTCGCAATTAAAACGATTAGGTAGGCATTTTTGCAATTGGAAAATTGTAGTTAATATGCAGAAATTTCTGTTAGATAAATTGTCAATTAATCACAGGTTATTTAGACAAAAACAAAATAAACTGCAACCGTTATGTTACAATTTGGTATGGACATTAAAGATTTAACAATTTGAATCTTCCCATAGATTACAAAGTCCCATGAGAATTACACATACATAAAACTGTAAACTCGAAAATGTTTAACTAACCTTTAAGTCTGACTGACGGTTCTATTGCAAACTATCTGTTTTTTTAAGTCATTGTTCCGAAGCATAATGCATAAACATCAGACTTAATGGGTAGAAAAATGTAAATTATATATCAGAAATATAAATTTTATTACACGTTAATGTAATTGTTATATTTCTAACAATATTATTTATTTTTAGATGCTGAACTGCCTGTATTCTATATTGTCTTCTCTCATTGAAGTAACGGGAGTTATGCAGAAAAACAGGTGCACTTCAAAACGTAGTAACAATGTTGCACTTACAAACGAAACAGTCTTTTAGCTACAGTAAAACTCCGTTTATTCGTTTCTTATAAAACTTTGATACTCTTTAACGTTAAATTTTCGTGAAAGAATATACAGTAGAGCGTCGTTTATCCGAATCAATTGGGGACTGGGGTTATTCGGATAACTTATTTTTCTGATAACCGATTATGTACGAAAAAATATATTAACCTATCTCGTGTTGAAAGTTTTCTCTGTTACGTGTCGCTTCGCGTTGAATTTTCGTCGATGTTAAGCCTAACGAAGACTATTGTATCGTTAAAAATTAGTTTTTCATTTTGTACAAACAAAATAAATATATTGAAAAATATAAAAACAATAAAAAATTATACCATAGAAGTTGATTTAGTATCAAAACCGTAAAATATTTGAGTAGTTTAAGACATAGCCAAAGATTGCAGCGCCACAGCATTAGCAAAAATTTAAATTTGCCGACTGGAATTGTTTCGGATAACCGACTTTCGGATAAACGACGCTCTACTGTAATACGTTCTTTTGTATGTACCAAGTAACTTTGTATTAATGGAATGTTAATCTTCTTATTGTTTTTGTAAAGTTAGTAAGTTTATTATCAATCATTGAAAAGTGTTTTTAGTGTGGAGTTTTTAGCCTGTTATTCAAATGCTGAATTAATTACGGTTTATGCAGAAATTTTGTACTGTACAACCTCTGTATGTGTATGCATGTATATTTGTTTGTGTGTGTTGACGAATATTTTGTTTATTATCTCTGGATGTAGAAATTATGAAGAAAAGTAGTTTGACATGGTGACTTCGATATAAAAAGCATTTATGCTTGTGAATTTTGGTGGTTAAAAGTCGAAGGGATAAAGAGATAGATGAAGCTTTATGTGTCTTAAATAAAATGTCTCGAAGTCAAATTTAATTAATTAATGCCGATATCGCTCGATATTACGATTTAGATTTTTATCTATATTTTTTTTAAAAGTTAAGAGTAAATCATTTATCTTTTGTCTTCGATCTGTGTTCCATAGTCTTTTTTTTACAATTGAATATTCGTTATAGAATACAAGCACTCTTTACAAATTCTGTTGTAATTCGAATCCTGGATTACATATTGTGCTCTGATAAGTATGAAAACACATCAGAACAGTGTACAGTAATACCCCTACTTACGCTACCCCGACTTACGCGAACTCGGAGTTATGCGATGTTCAAATCTCGTCGATTCGTCTTTTGTTTGAGCGCCAAGCAACTATCTATTACTCGCTCTCCCCCCACACTATTGCTCGGCTTACATGTTCAGACGTGTCGCGCGGAATCGACACATAGCTACAATTTATTTTGTGTTATTTACTTCCGTGTTTGTTATATCTACGGAGACTCGAGAGACTCTATGTGGTGATTTCTAACCGTGAACGAATCAAAAGACGAAGTAATATTAACGAAAACATTTATTAGCTTACATACATCCGACTTGGATTTTACACAAATTGCGAAATTATTCCCCGTCTTACGCGGTTATCGCTCGGTCCCACCTATCGCGTAAGTTCGGGGTATCACTGTATAACAATTGGCTCGTCGATTTTTATAACATCAAGTTACAGACAGAATAGTCATAATATTCATCTTTTTCATGACATCATAATACAGGAGTTTAACCGAGGTGGCCACGGTAAGGCTGACTAGTGGGATAGCCAGTTAATTTCTCGTGTTTTTCTTAATGTCTCAAAGATAAGAATCAGCCTGAGCTGTATGGATGTAATAAAATGAAAGGGAACATGTGAAAATAGATACATTGATCTGATGTCCTTCAGTCGTTTTATTTTGTGCATTGTTGAAACGTTTTAATACTGTCTTTATCATAAATAATTGTATTTTTTAATTTATTTATACAAATGTTATTACTGTGATTCAAGTGTCAATTCTTTTCATTAATTTGATGCTACAAAGAACAAAGACATTTCCATTTGAGACTGACTCATGTCAGTCTCAAATGGAAATGTCTGTATACTATGTTCGTACTAAATGATATTTTTTCGCTTGATAATTTTACATTTCGTTCTCTTACGCTACGTGACATATTAATTTGCATACGTCGTTTAAATTTATGTTTGTTTTTAGCAGTATGTACCATTTTAATCATATTCGTATTAATTTTACAATTTTTAATCATTAAATTATATCACTGTGATTAATTGTATTTCAATCGAATAATGCTTCGTGTTTTTTTCTTATTTAATGTCCTACTTCATTTCAGTTCTTACACTACTATTACTTTTTTCTAAATCAGTAATATTTTTCGAATACAGGTAGTAATTTTTACAATTACTACGTATTCTAGAAATCTCATTATTTAAAGATAGAACCGAAGTTGTATTGTACTGCATATATACGCCAGGGAGTGCTGTTTTATTCTCCCAGCGTTAGACAATTTTTTTTTTCTATTGTGCTTTGATTCACGTGTTGTCTTGTATAAAAATGTCAGACTTTCAATCTTTGAAAAGAAATTCTTCGCCAGTTCCTCAAGACCTATTACCAAGAAATGCAATAAGACGAATTGGAAGCGAGGAAAATGTCACAGGTGAGTGAAGGCAACAGTTGGGCTTGTCTGTTAGATTCTAGATACGTATACTGTCATGGCGCCTGTCCCGAATGTTCGTACATAAGATTGACTTTTGCCAAACGTTACTAGTTATTCATTCATGGTTGTTCTTCAACACACGTATTAATAACTAGTATGAACTGCCGCCATGACAGTACAAGTTTTTAAAATTTGACCGGATTGTCTTACAGAAGTGCCGAAAAGGTGATTAACATTAAGTACGGCATTCTTTCCCAACATAAATAAATGGAACAATAAATTTTAAGATTAAAACTTGATAATGATGCTAAAGAAATATCATAAATGGAAACTTCTATACTAAAATTATCATTATTGTTATTCTACGGATATTTTAGGTTTACTTTATTGAAATTTTGGCACAAAACGACTGACAAAAAGCTTATATATATATATCAATATGGACATTAATTATTAATAGAACAATTATACTGGTTTTTAAGTTTTTACGCAATTATTGAGGAAAAAGTTCTTAAAAAAACAGACTTTCTGTATTGAGCTACCTGATTTACTAAAGGACAGTAAGGCAATAATAATTGCATAAATAGCTGTTTTAATGGAACTGTTGAGGGGCGAAAAAGAGAAGGAGAAAGCTCAGCTATAAATGCAGGGAGAGATTTATTCGCAAGAAGGCGAGAAAAGATTTGTTATACATAATTAAAGTATTGACTAATATTTGTACACAAATATAGTTGTGTTATTTTTTTTACACTACCTCATCGGTATTTTTAGTAGAAATGCCAAAAAAGTTTTTTACATTTATATTAAAAAATAATATTCTTGTGTAGGAGATGGAGGACGAGCACGCGGACGAGGACGAGGTCGTGGTAGAGGGAGAGGTTACGAACCTCAAGATGACATCCCATTTAGAGGTAGACAAGAGTCACGTTCCCTTTCGTCAACACACGATGAAAGACGATCAACTAGTACAGATGCGGATAGAACTGCTCCTGGTGAGTGAGTCTAGCAGGAACATAAGTAATTTAACAAATGTAACAATGCCAAACAGATAATTAACGTTAAAACAACTATCATGTGTGAGGATTATTTATTAAATGAACGTAAACTAGGTTATTTTATCGGAAAACAAAGCAAAGATTTGTGGGCGTAAAATTTTCTATTTCAATTTCATACGAAAACATAAATATGGTGACATGCTCATAAAGTTATGAGTTATAGCAACTTTAAACTTGAAAGATTAATTACTAACACGATAAATTAATTATAACTTGATAGTGTATTTTATTTCGTGTTATCCTGTACTAAGCTAATATGTTAATTTGTTAAAATGTAATAACTTCAGTTTTAAGGTCAGACTTAACTTCTTAGAACGACTGCGGGTGGTACTTTTCCCTACCTAACATCGGTGGGTTTAAGTGGCTGTTTTGCCTGTTTTCAGATAAGGGTCGCCATTTTGTATTTTATTTTAACTCGGTTTTCTGTCCACCAAGTATGTATTCCTTCCTACTTCCTTCTTAACGGCAGTACGATTTTATAAACAAGAGATAGTCTTGTCAATAATAAAAGTATGCCATTCTTTCCCTACATAAATAAATCAGATAATAATCAGAATAGTAATTTTAATGAAATTGTTGATGGGAGGATAAGAGTAAGAGAAAGCTTAGAAAGTAGGGAGAGATTTATTTGGTAGAACTTGAGAGATTTGTTACCCATAATAAAACTAATGACTAATATTTGTAGAAAAATATAGTTCTTTTATTTTTAGTTTTATTCTTTACTTAATATTTCTGCCTGAAATCATAGGTGATTAACATTTTTTCAAGATAAAATAGTAATACGTTACATTACCGCTTCAGTATTTTTGGTAGAAATGCCATAAAAATCTTATTACATTTATATTAAAAAGTAATATTTTCGTGTAGGAGATTGCGGACGAGGACGGGGAAGAGGACGTGGAAAAGGTCGTGGTAGAGGTATAGGTTACGAACCTCAGAATGACATTGTATTTAGAGGTAGACAAGAGTCACGTTCCCCTTCTTCAAGACACGATGAAAGACGATCAACTAGTACACCAGCGGACAGAACTGCTCCTGGTGAGTGTAGCAGGAACATATGTAACTTAACAAAGGTAAGGGGCTGTCCATAAATTACGTAAGGCATTTTGGGGTGGGTGGTGTCAAGGATTTCCTACGATTTCTTACTCATGGGTAGGGGGTAATAGATTTCGTCTTACGTAATATTCTTATCTGTTTAAAAAACTGCAATGTAGCACAGTAATCAACACATGGCATAACTCATTCATTTATTCCAGCTTTTGTTGATCTGTTTAAAAACTGCAATGTAGCACAGTAATCAACACATGGCATAACTCATTCATTTATTCCAGCTTTTGTTGAGACGCGTTTCTATACACGTTTCGGGCTCCGTTTTTGCCCCTCCTCAGTCAACTAAAACATATAAAAACCAATTATATACATATTATAACCCGACATATGAATTAACACCACAAAAATAAAAGTATATTTCTTTGGTATATACAAGTAAGACACAACATACCATTTTTTAAAAAATTCCTTCTGCATGTGCTACATTGCAGTTTTTTAAACAGATATAAAGATACAACACGGTTTCGAAATATGGAAGATTCTTATTTTTATTTTTTGATCTCGTTGAGTGGTGGAGTTTTGAATTTGGCTTCAATTTTGTCGCTTCTATTAAAAACGCTTTTTGTACTAAAGCCATCTTATGTGACGTGATAAAATAATAACGCTAGCAGACTCATGCTCTACAGTCTACACGTTTTTTTCATGGGAGAAAGGCTGTGTGGTGGTCTCTCTCTCTCGCTCTCCCACTTGTTTTTTTTTTTTAGAATAAGTGCACCATTCCTATGGGTATATAACAATAAGAATAAATAAACCAAAATACACGATACAAAGTAAACATAAAATTCGTATTAGGATTTTAGTGCAAACTAAAATGTAAAACTAGATATTAGAAATTATAAATAGTCTTTTCTTCCATGTTTTTTGAACATAATTGTAAAAAGCGTAAAAGAGTGGCTTCTGAACAAGCTTCCCAAATGGACATGACCACCTGAATCAAAGTGTAAAGATTTCTAATTCTGATCGTAAATTGGACAATAATATGGCAAATGTTAAATTTTTAAGTGATGTTGAGATCTTGCATTCAACACTAGGAAAATAAAGTGTTTTTATTCTACATGTTTTAATGCTCAACCATTGTTGATTCCACTTATGCATAGCGTTGTCACAAATATAATTTTTAAGGCTGCTACGTGAGAGAAAGATGCGAGTGTAGTCTAAGTCAGTGTTTTTTGCGACTGGCTTAGCCTCAAAGACAGCTTTTTCATTTTTAAGTATGCCAGTATGGTTAAGAAAATATATAAAAGTTATTTTATTTACAAGATTTTTAATATGGTGCTGGATATATTCGATTTTATTGCTATTGTAATTGAGATTTAATAAAGCTTTTAGGATACTGAGAATCACTGTAAATGTTGATAGGCAGAGTTTTATTTGATAGTGAAGTGGCCACTGAACAGTTTGCCAGCAACTTCAGTTAATAGATGGAGGTATGTGAGAAGTATTTGTACCTTCTAACATATTTTGCGCAAAATATGTCAGTTTGGAAAAAGATACAGATACTTGAGCCAACACGAAAAGAGCTTTTAGGTTCATCTGTGTAAATATTAATGTTTGCATGGTTAACCATGGAGGAAGCAAATGACACCAAATATTACCCTGTGTACAGTAAATGTGATCATCACCTTGTTTACAGGGTAATCGCAATGTGGTAGCATATGAACAGCCGTAGATAGGAGTAGAGCCTTGATGTTTGTAGTTCTGACCTTCTGATGTAGTAGTTTAGAACCTTTTCTTACAATACATAGTGCAAAAGAAGGAGCTCTGCTAGTGTCAAAGGCACTAGTAAAAACAGTTCTGCAGCACTTCAGAATTACGATGGCAAACTGTCTTTGAAGAGAGAGTAATTTACTTGCTACTGAATTTTTAACTGTTACATGACCCCAGCTAGAGGCCGCGTAAAGTAGCATTGGTTGTATTGCCCTATTATATAGAGTTTTACAAGCTTTATGATTTATTCCCCAGGTGCATCTAGCTCATTTTAGCAGCGTGTAGTTTATTTTATTGACCTTATCCAAGATGTAAATAATTAATATGGCAACGGAATAAGGTTTCAATTCTCTCTTGTTTTATTTTGTATGACGTTTCTGTTTACACGTGCACTAGCATGTCAATCTGTAAAAGTTTTTTTGCATCCTTTTGTGAAAATTAACATTAATATAAAAATGAATATTATGACGTTGATTAATGATGATGATGATGATAATAGTAATAATAAAAATAAATAAAAATAAAATTGTACATAATTAAAAAATAAAGTTGTTAAAACATTCGAATTCATCAAATGTTTATGTTTTTAAATTTGTTCATATAAAGTCTTATATAAATAATAGTAAATTAATTATTATATATTTTGAACCTAAGGCCTAAATATTACGTAAGATATGGAAGGGAAAAATGTATAAAATAAAATATTACGGTTTCTTACACAGGGGTGGGTTGGGGTCTAGAATGGTTAAAATCGCACTTAGGTAATTTATGGACGACCCCTAACAATAAGTATGTATTTACATACCATGCTTATGTCAGTTCTCAATTATATAAGAATGTTTTGCACTCAAACATCCATACTCTTGCTTGAAAATCGATTACGGTACATTACATTAAAATTAATATGAAAAATATTTCTCTTATCATTAATTGACAAATAATATTTATATATGAAAGGTGGATCTCAGTTTCGTGATTTTAAACTTGGTGGAGGATTGCGAAGTACACAAGAATTACGTTCTTCCATACCAGCAGAGGATATAATAGCAACGACTAGTAGAGCATCTGCAATGATTACTCCTGTTGAGAGTATGACAAAACCATCCTTTCGTACAGGTAAGTTACATATAAAATAATTGTTACAAAAATATTCTATTTGCAAGTGTAATTTAGTNTAATTACTCCTGTTGAGAGTATGACAAAACCATCCTTTCGTACAGGTAAGTTACATATAAAATAATTGTTACAAAAATATTCTATTTGCAAGTGTAATTTAGTAAAATGTATAGCTTTAAATGTTGATCTGATGCAAAATCCCTCAGCTTCTCATGAAGGTAGACAGTCGTCTTCAGCTATGGCTCTTGCTTCTCTATTGCATTCAAAAAGTACAGTAGATATTATGTCGAGTGTAATGAAGAGACTGGGTCTTGAGATAACTAATACTGGTTCTACAAGATATAACTTTGCTAGAAGACCTGGCATTGGCATTAAGGGTAAAAAGATAAATTTACTAGCAAATTATTTTCCAATAGATATACCACACGGAGAAGTGTATCATTATGATGTGGAAATTGAAAAGGTTTTGCTCATAACAGAAAAGGGTGGTACTGAAAGTGAATCTACACACAAAAAGTATAAATGCCAAAACACTAAACTGAAAAGAAAAGTTATTGAAGAAATGATTCGTGAAGATGCTCTATTCAGAAATATTAGACCGGCATTTGATGGCGAGAAAAACTTGTACACCCGAGTACCGTTACCGATAAAATACACAACAGTATTTACCGTAAGCATTACGGATGATTTTAATCTCAAAAAAACGACAACATATGAAATTAAACTTAAACCTGTTAACAGGTCAGACACAGCTGAAAGGTCAAATAACAATTCAATAAGTTTAGAACCATTACACGAGTTGTTAGCAGGTAAATGCAGTGATATAACAGAAAGCATTATTATGGGAATGATGGCCATAGAGACCATACTAAGACACGGTCCTGCTCTACATTTGGTTCCAGTTGGGAGATCGTTTTTCATAAAGCCTCAAATGGATGAAGTTCCTCTATTAGGTGGAGGAAGAGAAATTTGGTTTGGCCATCATCAAAGCATGCAGCTGTGTCAATGGAAGCCCATGTTAAACATTGATAAATCGGCAACGACATTTTATAGAAGCTGCTCCGTTGTTGAGTTTATGTTTGAAATATTATATCCACGTACTGAGAACTTTGAGTTGGCTGCAAAACAGATGAGAGGTCTCACAGATGCTGAAAGAAAAACACTTACAAAGGAAATGAAGAATTTGAAAATTGAAGTAACTCATTTGCCTTATCCCCGAAAATATAAAATTCGAGACATCACAAGGGACAATGCTAACAACATTATTTTTATGAGAAAGATTAATGATAAGGAAACTCCTTGCTCAGTATCAGAATATTTTCGGTCTGTATATAAACCATTAAAATATCCTAATTTACCTTGTTTAAATGTGGGAAATAATAACAAAGATATCTATTTACCATTGGAAGTGTGCAATATTGTGGAAGGTCAGCACAGTAATAAGAAATTAACGGACAGACAAACTTCAGATATGATTCGCTATACGGCTCGTCCTCCTGCGAAAAGATTCGAGGATATCAAACAGTCTGTTAATGCTATGATGCAAGACTTTCAACCATTCTCGAGAGAATTTGGCATTCGTGTAAGTACGAATTTTCTAAAGTGTACAGGCAGAGTATTGGATCCTCCGGAAGTTATGTACGACGGAAGAGAGACCATCAGACCTTCTAACGGAAGCTGGAATATGGTAAATAAGAAGTTTCACAAAGGAGTGACAATTAATAATTGGATGCTGCTGAGCTTCTCTGAAAATCGCTGCTGTAACGAAGAAGTCTTAAGGAAGTTAGTTAATATGCTAATAGAAAATGGTAGAAATGTAGGGGTAGATTTTGCAGATCCATTGAAAGTGAGAGGCTACACACGTAGTGATGGAAAGCCGGGAGATATATTAAGGCAAGCTAAAAAGATGGAGCCTGAATTGGAATTAGCAGTAATAGTATTACCAGCAGAAAATATTTATCCTGAAGTTAAAACAGTTGCAGAAACGGAATTAGGACTTATGACACAATGTGTAAGAGATGCAAACCTTGTCAATGACAAAAAGTTTAATGCACAGTTTATAAGTAATTTATGTCAAAAAATTAATGCAAAAATGGGTGGAGTCAACAATTCATTAGCACAGGAGTACAGACCTGAAATTATGAATAGACCTGTGATGATTGTGGGTATCGATTGTAATCATCCCGCTCCTGGTGACAAAGTTGGATATTCGATCGCAGCAGCAGTAGGAAGTTTAGATGCTTATTGTGGAAAATTTAAAGCGTCCATTCGTGTTCAGCATAAGAAACAGAAAACAGCCAGACAGAGGTTCGGACAAGATATTGTTGTCGAGCTGAAGAACATGATGAAAGAACTTTTCAAGGCATTCTACAAATATACCGGAGGAAAAAAACCACAAAAAATTATTATTTTTAGAGACGGGGTTAGCGAAGGCGAATTTCAGAAAGTGATGGATTACGAAATGAGANTGTCGAGCTGAAGAACATGATGAAAGAACTTTTCAAGGCATTCTACAAATATACCGGAGGAAAAAAACCACAAAAAATTATTATTTTTAGAGACGGGGTTAGCGAAGGCGAATTTCAGAAAGTGATGGATTACGAAATGAGAGAAATTAGAAAGGCGTGTGAAGAAATGGCACGTGGTGAGACCTACCGACCTCCCATCACTTTCATCATAACTGGAAAACGTCATCACACACGTTTTCTACCCGAAAATCGAAGAGACGGTGTGGGCAGACCGGGAAACGTTCCACCCGGTACTACGGTGGATACGGCTGTAGTACATCCCGTGTTCTACGACTTTTTCTTATGCAGTCATATTGGAATACAGGGTACTAGCAGACCAGCTCATTATACGGTTCTATGGGACGATAACGACTTCACTGCAGACGAGCTACAAGTGTTAACTTACTACCTGTGCCACACGTATGCCAGATGCACCAGGAGCATATCTATACCTTGTCCCGTTATGTACGCCCACCTTGCAGCTTTCAGGGCCAAGCAATATCTTATAAACAAAACCGAAAGTATGTCGAGTTCTGGTAGTGAAGTGTCGGAACGGGAAGAAGTGATTATTGAAGAAAGCATTAAAGAAGCCATAAAAGTAGTTGACGAAATACAAAATAGAATGTATTATGTGTAAATGTTGATAACATTCGTGCATACATACTGTATAATTTATTATTTTTATTTATATAAAATTAATTACGACCGTTTTCATTTAACAACATTAATTTGAAAATTTTTTGAATTTCGTTGAAAGTTTTAAAATTAATTAAAATTATAACATATAAACAATCGTACAAAGCAAGTATGTAAAAGTTGTCACAATTTGTGTTTATAATGTAATAACTAATAATGTTTTTGTAGTGGCGTGTTAGCCATGAAAGTATTTGTGTTTAACTTTGTTTTACATTGTATATAAGTAAATATATACCGAATATAGTTCGAAATATTTATTTTTGAAATTAGCGTAAAACGTTGGCATAGACCACATTCGCGTAATTTAAAATTAAGCTGTGTTTAGTTTAACCAGGTTATGATTATTTATTTATCTTTTTTTCTATGTTTGTTATCAACTGTATTGACTTGCTAAAGTATATCAAATAAACTATAATTTTCTATATTGTATTTAATGAAGCAATTAATTACTCTGCTTATAATAGCGTAAAGATTCGAGAATAATTATAAATATATCATTAAGTTCACAGTAGATTACATTGTCTTGCTCCTATAATTGTTGTTCTTAATTAAATTTAGCATATGTAATTATATAATAAAAAAAATTATAAAATAAATTATACACATATCATTAATAACTGCTTATTATCAATATAAATTATTACTCTAAAGCAAAATATAGCAGTAACTACATATGTTATATTGTTAATTATAATGGTTTATTTGAACGGTCGGCAACCAATGGTTTGCGAGAAAATTTGGGTGGTCCGTGCTGAAATTTGAACATTGATTAACCTAAGGTTACGCGAAGTATTACGAAAGAAATGCAAAATGCTTAGTTACTTTTTCTAGTCATTGGGGTTTTTAATTCGAATCTAACACCAAAAGCTGAGTGATCGTAATCAATAAATAATGAACAATTAAACAAAATTGTAAGTGCGATTGTCGTTCTTCGTGGAAAAGCGCGAGGAATCTATAAACTTCTTTCAAAGAAGTAGCAATGAACTTTAGGCTTGCATTAATTTGTTATAATTAAACATGCGAGTTTCATATGAATGTAGTAAAATTTAACATTTAAGATCATTATTCTACAGATTTTCTACACATTATTCTACACAATTCGTGATAATGGCTTTCGAGATTTAAAATTCTGACTTTAATGGTCCGTGAGATGAGAAATATTGCTGACCGTTGATTTAAACTTATTAGAGAATTTGCGGCCGAATTTTTCATCGCGAATACGTGTACGTCGGACGTTCAGCGACGCCTTGCTGTAAGCCTAGAAGTTTTACAATGGCATTTGGAACGTCAGTGAAATCATGCTCGACGTATCGAACGCCATTGTCAAACCTCTAGGCTTACAGTAAGGCGGCACTGAACGTCTGACGTACACGTTTTCGCGATGAAAACGTCGGCCGCAATTTTTCTATTGTCATTGTTGTTCGTTAATTAAGCTGTAAATGTTGTAAAGCACATTGTTCACTTTCCACATGAAAACCGATTTTGTTTTAAATGAGACGTATGGCAAATGGGATTTATATATATTATTGTGAGGATCCGAATTCGGATGTGTTTATATCATTTCACATTGTAGCTATACTTTCGTTTAATAACTGTCAACTTTTACACCTGGGTGCTGAACGTCTTTTAAGTTCTCAGACCTAATAACGACGCTTTTTCATCACCTTTCGACCTAGTATCGCGATTTTAACAGTTCAATATTAGACAAGAACAACAAAGTGAGGCAGTCGTCGCCTGTCTTTCGAAAGAGAAGTTGTCACTCGTATTTTGTCTTAAGTGTCTCCATATTCGGATATCTGTGAATATATCATTTTATTCTACGTGTTATATCCTACTAAAATATCATCGGAACCCATCGTAACATCGTCGAATACCTTTGCGGATATTTTACGTTCTATCATTCTTACGGATACTTTTTCTACCGGATACAAGAACTGACATCCCGAACTTTCTTTCCTTCACCCAGAACGCTCGAGAATCTCAATCAAGACAGCAAAAACTAAAGGTATTTATCGATACGCGCAACTTATGTAAACTCTCTCTCTCAAATCGGAAAAACCAAAACGTAATATCATAATATCTAATCCCTATTGTAGAAATGTATCTAACAGCAGCTCGAATGTATAGCTTATCGTAAACCATTAAACAATTGTTACGTTAAAATGTCTCTGAGTAAGTCACTTTTGGTGCGCTGTCTCTCCTCCTATCTCGACTCTGATCACTCCGTTACGCGACCGCTCGCGTGACCTGAATAACGCGGCTTCCGTGTCCGCCGAGACGCGGTGGTGTCATCCTGACAGGGCACCAAAAAAGTGCCGACCCTTCGATCACATTATTAAACAATTAACTGTTTACCTCGTTATTTTGTTGATGACTTTTTATTTACATACACAAAGTGTACATAAGATTGTATACTTTTGTCAGAGAAAGATAAAAGTAACATCTCTTCGAGTAATCTAGCGTAATCAATGTTAAAATTCGTGAAAGCCATTACGACTTGTTGCTGTGGTATCATACATTAATATTGTTACAATACGTGCTTAGAAATTAATACTGGTTAATTAAGGAATATAAAAAACTCATTATTACATTAGCATGGTTAAATAACGCTATGCAGTTTTGGATAAGGTAGACTTATATACAGGGAAAATTTAACTGAGGATCTATTTAAGCGCATTAAATTTTGTGTTTCTCAACTGATTAAATTTAAATCTTCGCTGCTTATAAGTTATCTTTTGTTTCATTTTTCGCAAAATTCCATATCATCAACAGACATCAATTTTTATACCGACATAAAGTAAGAATTTTTATTTTCCATCGTAATCTAAATGTGACTTTACTTTTTGTTATAGACCATAATTTCATTATAAATACTGTATACTGTATGTTAATTTAATGTTCTGTTACAAGCGAAACGGTTATTATAGTAAATACCGGTTTGTTTTGTATTGTAAGTTGATGAAATAGCGAAACAGTTACGTGTCATATCTTGGAAGGAGCCTAACGACAAGAAAATTTTAATCGTTACTGGCATTTACAACGTTTTAAAAACTCAAGTCGATTAAAAAATTTTGCCTTTTGCTCTCTTATAATAATTAATAATGTAAAAGCTATTTTATAAATAGAATGACAAAACACAAAATGTTTTTATAATCAATAATAATAGATTTTCTTTAATAAATAATTTTAACACCGGGAATATCGTTGCAAGATTTATTTTAATTTACCTATAACGATGTTCATAGAACAGAATCGTTCGCGGACTGAAGAGCGTACGTACTTCGTTCATGTGACATTTTCAATGTGTAACTAAGCTATTGCGTGCCGTTTACGTAAAATAACTTAAGAAGTGCGTGTTTTTCTTCCGTAAAGACAGGACAAATCGTCGCTAAATCATTTTGATGTACTGAGTGTTTACAAGCTTTAGCTAAGACGTATTGTTTCCGAAAGTAATTTGTATACACTGTACGTGTATCTAAAGAGCCATTTTTGCCTAATTACGAAAATTTGAACAAATTTTTGTCCCTCAGAAGTCTGTTCTCAGATGTGAGAAAATGACCAAATTTTATAGAAATATTTTTATTATAATTGGTATTTTACTCGTAGCGTTTGAAAACTTCGTTGCAACAAATACTGATTAAGGAGCCTTATTCATCAGATTGAAAAATTCTGAACAAGTTGCTTCTTTCCAAGCGTAAAGCACTCAGAACTGAGAAACTTTCCATTTGAAACAAGTATTTCATAAATTCAAACTGTCAAAGAAAAAATTAAATGAGTAATCACCGAAAATGATCATTGAACAACAATCGAAAACAAAAATTTTACGCTTCTGAAAAACGGAAAGCCGTGACAGTTCAAACATTATAATAAACTAGGACATCTTACATTAGTATTGTTTATTTTCGCAAATTCAATTTGCTTCAATCATATTTTTGATTGCCATTATCAACAGGCAACTTCACTAAGCATCCAGCTTCCAAAAGCAGCCACTTTCAACAGCGAAGCTGAACTTTATACTCAAACATAGTCTTTTCGAATAATACATGCCCAAAACATTACAGATTTTGAAATATTCGATATACGAGAATAATTAATTTCAGAAAATAAGATTTAAAGTTTAGATAATGTACAAGGTTGACTGAGCAGAGAATATAATATCGAGCTGAGAATGTCGACATAAGTTACACATACAAATGTCGAAGAACTCGTTGAAAACAACAGTTGTATTTGCTGCATTTTGTTCAATATTATATCTTCATGTTCAACTTTCCTCACTGCTCAATAAGTATTACAAATACGTGAGCCGTTCACAGCCCGGCACACGTATTTATTTATAAAATCTAAGTGATTCGTTCTACACGAAATTCATACAAAACGGAATAATCAAGTGTTATAGGGGAGTCGACTGTATAAAACTTCTACTTATAGTTTAGCAATTAAAAAACGGAAAGCACCAGGACCAGATGGTATTACTTGGAGGATGGTCCAACACGCCTATATGGCGATTCCTACAATTTTTTTGGTTCTCTTCAACAAATGCCTGAGCTTGGGCTACTTCCCCAAGACTTGGAAAGAGGCATCTGTTGAACTGATCTTAAAAGACAAAAATAAATTTCCAAATGCTTCTTCAGATTACCGTCCCATCTCACTACTGTCGATAGTTGGCAAGGTCCTGGATGCTCTCATGGCAAATAGAATCCAACACTACTTAGAAACCAACAAATAGTTGGACAACCGTCAATACGGTTTTAGGAAGGACAGATGTGCCCATCAAGCTATGGCCAAAATCATGGACTATTTACAGGCTCCCAAGGATACTGGGAATCATTCAGTCATAATCCTAATTGACTATAAAGGTGCGTTCGACCACGCCTGGTGGCCAGCCATCTTATACGAGCTGGTTCAAGCCAATTGTCCACATAACTTCCTAATGCTTCTAAGGAGCTACCTCTCAGAAAGGTCTGCAGTGGCCATTGAGAAATGGAAAACACTACACAGGACTGCCATCTCCAGGAGTTTCCCACAAGGCTCGAAATCGGGCCCCCTCCTCTAAAATATCTTGTACAATGGGCTGCTGAGGCTGTATTCGGACCATTATTAGCTCTATTGGCAACCTATACATGCAGGGTTACGCCGATGATACGGTCCTCCTCCTCTCAAGCTCCAACCAAACGACCCTACAGAACCTAACTAACAATTTCTTAAAAGAGATCTACAAGTGGAGTGTAAACCACCGGCTAAAACATCAACTACATGTAACAAAGAAAGACCATGGCACTACAGTAAATTTTGTGCCATGGTCTTTCCAAAGGGTAACCTCCAGAAAAAAAAGCCAATAATTAAAATTAATGATCACAGGATCCAAAACACAAATAACATCAAATATCTTGGTGTGATATTTGAC